GTGGAAGAAAAACTATTAGCCGCTGTAAGACAAACAGAATACACTTCAGTAGAAAAGAAAAAGGTGCGAAAGACTCTTTTCTCAGTCATAGAGGCTCTGTCCGTGGCAAAAGAGTATGGAGTGGTATCTAGAGTGGTGCAGTGTACACTGGAGATGTACAGCCCTGAAGAGAAGGACCGAGAAAGAAGTGAAATTGCCGCTCTAAACCTTTTGCTAGGCACAGCAGACCTCTACAATGGCCGACGAAGAGCGAGCATCAACAGCCTCAAGGTAGTCCTCGACTGCTACTATAGCGATTCGAAACTCTTCAACTATGCGAGGGACGCGTGCAATGCCATGTTGATTCAGACACACACCGAATTGGCTTGCTTCCACATTGCTCTCCTGGAGACACTGATTGCGGCTCGCTCAGTGTACGATTTTGTCACGTCTCCCACCTTCGACACCGACCACTTCTCCGTGTACTACATCTACGAGTTCCCAGCCCTGGTCCCTGGTAATTTACTGGCTGATAGGATCGCCGAAGTCCCTGTTGGTCCCTACTGCATTGTCTTCTTCCTCAAATGGTGCCTGGCCAACGTGTTGTATTTGTTCAGCATTAGGTTCATAGTTCAAGTAACGAATGTGGCCATAGTCCTTTTAAAGCTGGCACTAGTGTTTTCAGTTCCAGCTTTCTCACTTTTCCTGATATACAGCACTGTCAAGTTTGTAAAGTGTGTGTATCGTGTACTGTGGAGTTATGGGTGGTCAGAAGATGATTCATACGTAGACATGCCTTAGGCTTAGACGTTTTGTCTTTTCATAATTATGTGTGTTTTTTAACCTCATCACACTATATCACAGCTTAGAAAATTTCACATGTATCTCACCAAAGAACGGCTATATTATGCTTCAACTTCAGTGTATTTGTGTACTTCTTGCTCAATCTAATAATCTATGGCATATGCTCAAACCACGAACATGTTGCTGCTTAAATAGTGTTTCATATTGCTATGCCAGATACAACACCACACACACACAGATGATACAATGCCCTAGTGTATGGTAATGAGGTTCAACTATTCCTCATGCTCAAAGTCAGCCGGATTTTTTCTTCGTCGAGCCTCAAAGTTCTTGGTGCCAAAGTAGTAGATCATGGAACAGATTATAGCGGACGGGAGCATGTAGGGAACCTCCTCCGAGACACGTCTCATATTGTTGGGGATTCCCTTTGAGAAGAACCCGGCAAACAGTCTCTGGCCGTAGGGAGAGAGGAAGTAGGTGACGATGTTCCTCCCACGAATCAGGTTGCCAAACTGTTTGCCCATCTCCTTTACCTGCGGCGGAAAAGGCGAACGATTCTAATTGGTGCCCACTTTGTTTAGTGACGTTTTATACTCCGAACGAGTGTTCTTGGGTGGAGCTGAAAACCCCTCACCTGATAGCTGTCAAAATAGCTGCTGGGAGATGCTAGGCTGGCCGGCTCTTGCTTTATTTCTCTGCTGTCTGGACTCCGGCAGCCACAAGAGTTGTTTTTTCTTGGAAATATCACGTGATCCCTGCGACCTTTGCACCGCACTACTTTTAGCACACGCAACGTCCGGACAGACAAGCAGAGCAGGACACTAATTTTCCGTGTTGTAGTGAAGATATGGCAGACCAGAAACAAGAGCTAAAGGCAGGGCATCCACCAGCAGGTATACTGTGAGACAAACCGCCGTGCGGGCACGGCAGACGTGGTACTTATCTTGACTGCAGTGAAAGCCGGGGGCATGCGTGTTGTGTCCAAGCACAAACACGACGACACTGATGCTGATGCCTACGACCAGAAATACGTGGACGCCCTCCCAGAACCAATGTTAATATACCTGAACTAGTGTAGCTAGGCCTGTCTGCTTCATGTGTGACTTGTTGTTCATGTGCGTATATACAGGAATCCGGTAGCTGCCCCGGCCACCATCGCTGGAGTACCTGCTAAGGTATGCCACAGAGGAGCCCTCCTCTGTCTCGAAGCAGAATCACATAAAATATAATCTGTCTGTTGTGTCCAACATCCCATGCAATTTCCAATTCCAGAAACATCTCTCCCTTCGTGTTTTTTTACTCATCCAGTGCTTCAACTTATGTATCGCGCATAGCCACAACTCCATAACTGCCCCTCAATATTCCACACACATCTACTACCACAACTCTCCCTCCCTCTCTTCTTCCCCCTCTCCCTCCTTCCCCTTCTCTCTTCTCACACCCTCCTCCCCTCGCCCCTCTCTATCTCCCTCTCTCTTCTCTCCTCCCTCCCTCTCTCCTCACCCAGATGTACACCTCCCATGCTCCATCCGAGGAAATGAAGAAACAGCAGCAGAAGCCACAGCCAGCCATCGAGAAACAGCACTCTCCCATGAAGCAGCAGATGAGAATCAACCAGCCAAGACGAAGTTGAGCCCCAAACTCACCCCGAAGGACATTTTTCATTCAACCACTGATTTGTGAATCTTTCTGAAATATGGAATCATTGTATACCAGATGTATTATACTTGTAGCTTTAGTTTGAGTTTCAAGTGCTGTTGTATAATGGTCTGTGACTCAGAATTGATTGAAATTTCTGGAGGTATATAGGGATTCTGTGTGTATAAAGGCTGATACAGTATGCGACTGTGTGACAATGTTGCATGCAAATTCATGTAAGTTGCATGAAATACAAAGTATTTCTACTGCGGTCAATTAACTTGTTGCACGGACCCATATCATACACGTACATTTGAAGTTATGCAACTTTGTCTCACTCAAGTGTATGTATATAGCATGGCCAGACAATGTCTCAATCTCGTGATCCAGACTGTAGCTACTTTTTCTTCGTAACACGCATGTGCACGCAACACAACACGGATGACGTATGTTGATGTACACTGTTATAGATCAATGTAGGCGTTCTTTTGAAAAAAAGATTACAAGAGCCTATAAAAGGGGGCAACAAGGCGATTAGTCTAGATCTTCTTCCTCAGCGAAAAACTTGAAAATGGACTCCATTGCATGGGAGGAAGTCTCTTCGTGTTTTGTTGTGCCTGTCATAAAAACAGAGAAAAGACTCATTATTCATGTTCTGAGATAGCATTGTATATACACGAGCCACAAGGGAAAGAGAAAGACCCCAGTTGAACTAAGAGGCATCACAACCAGAAGTCCAGTGGAACTATATACACAGCAGACTTGCTCATCACCTATCTGTCAACCTCACATTTGCATCCACCATCCTTAATCTTGCAACTATACCTGACCTGCTGAAACTTTAGGGACCATCCCTTTGGCTGTACCCTGTTCTTGGTCTAGGGGATCAATGGAACAGATCCAGTTCCTAGAGTGCTGCAAATACAGTCATAATCATTGTGGTAATTGTGGGCACGGTGACTCACTGATGCTAGCCATTCCTTGACAGCTGTGCTGGTGCCCTGTAGTTGAAAACTGTGGACGGAATCTGTAAAGGCTATCTTTTTCACTCGCTTTCGGAAGGTTCACGGACTTTAGATTGATCTGCCTGTGCACATAAACAGACATGATCACGTGTCTAATAACTGTGGTGCATAGCTATACAGTAACTCACCAGGTCTGTAGCGACTTTTCCTCCGTAGCTGTGTGCAACAATGTAAATCTCTTTGGCTGAATAGTGTTTTATTATGTGTTTCCACACATACTTTGCATGTTCTTCTGGTGAAGAATTGCCCTATTGAACAAGAAATGAGCATGCGCAATAATACTCTGGACACGCATGCGCGCGGGGAAGGAACTGCGTGTCCGTCCGTCGTGTCGTGTCAGAAAAACAAAATGGTGGCGTCCTTCTCCCTCTAAGTTTCTCTCTTTGCTGAAGATTTCTCGCTCCAATTCGCGCAGCCTAGTTACGTTTAGACGACGCTCGTTAACCCCGTGCCGCTATTGAACAGAGAGGGTCGAAGAATCCGAATCGAAGATGGACGAACGGTCGCCGCTCGACAACCGCTCGCTGAGTCACACCAGTCGGGAGCCGGAAGGGCAAGCGTGGGCTCAAATAGGCACCAAGGCTTCCTCGACCATCAGCAAACCTACCCCTGTCCCCCTTTCCACTGCCAAGCTCGCAGTATCCTCAGCTAACGAGGGTCATCCTCCCGTCGAGAAGAAGTCTAGTCCTCCCTCACCAACAGCAGCGCGAGCCGAGGAAGACGCGCTCTCTGACGACGGCCGACCGCTGCAGGTCGTAGAGGACGCCGAATCCGAGCCTCCCCAGCCGGCCAACAACGACACCGCCTTGGCAGAGGAGAAGAAAAACGGGGGAGAGGAGGAGGCGGCGGGCTCCGTCTCCGGTGCGGAAGCGGCCGACAATTCGGGTGACGGCGGTAGCGGAGGAGCTGGAGGAGAGAACGGGAGTCGCCTGAGTGACCGCACAAACAGCTCCGACCCAAAGATGGTTCGTTCCAGGATCTTTGTCGGGCACCTCAACACGGACAAATGCTCACGCAACGAGCTGGAAGAGCTTTTCACCCCGTTCGGAAAGGTGGCGAGCGTCTCGCTGCAGCATGGCTACGGTTTTGTTCAGTACTGCGACGAGCAGGCGGCCAAGAGGGCCATCACGGAGCTCCACGGGCTACAGTTCAAGGGCATGAAGCTCGGTATGGGTTTGAACGCTTTACGGCGCTATGTATAGGTGTTCATACAGGGGGGCCGGCATTTGGCATGAGCTTTGTTGACTTCCTGCTAGGTTCTCTGCTTTACAACTAAATTTTGTGTTTGTGTGTGGGTATGTGCACTAACGCACATTCCCTAACGCACACACGGGATAGAGAGGGGGTCCAAGTAATGTTTGGAAACCCTTCTAGAAAGCATATGTCTGGTTCAGAGTTTACTAGTTTAGTGCACAGTATGCTATAAGGGAAAAGGGGGTTAGACGCTTTATAAGTAATGACTGCATGTTTTGAGCGTAGAACAGGAGTAATAGTAATAATAGCTTGGATAGGTGTAATGACAAGAATGTATGGCCAATCACTGGGGGTCTCAACAGTAGGGCTCTGGCTCTCATTATGTTGTATGTAAAATGCTGTGCTCTTTCACTCAGTGGTCGACAAAACTGCCGCGCTAAAAAGAATGCAGGGTGGTAAGTTACTGTCCTGATCTGTTGCTCGCTTTGTACTGAGCAGTTTGCTAGTGAGCATGCTTTCCTCTTCTCTCTATACAGTTGTAGCTGCTTTTCAGGTAGCATGGCATGTTTTTCATGGCTGGTTTTGTTTTTTCAGCTCAAACTTATGCTATGAGGCTTTTAGTTTTTCCCATCCCACTCTCCCTATTTCTCTCTCACTGTAACTACATTGCTGTGCCTCAATCCAACTCTAGAGAATCCCAACGCCCCTAAGCCGTGGACGACTCGCAACGACAGACACCCCGCAGATATCGACCTCCGTCGACGGGAAGCCGCCATTTACGAGCGCGAATACGCCATGTACGAGCGTTCTGCTCGCCTCGATGAGTTTGAGCGTATGTACTACGACCGCTACCCCACGCCCGCCCCCTACGGGAGGGACCCCTATTATGATAGGTACTACGACCGACCGACGCGGGACCCCTACATGGAGCGCTACCGTCACTACTCTGACATGGAGAGGGGGAGGTACTATGAACGCCCCGCCGCCATGGGCGTGTCCCCGCCCCACTCCTACGAACGGGCGGCATACTACGAGGGGAGGTCCTCGTACGAGCGGCCACGCGACGATCAGTGCGACCGTTGGGACGACGGTTTCCGTGACCACCAGCTGCGAGATAGGGAGCCGTTTGAGCGCTTCGATAGCTCTCGTAGACTCTGATTTGGTTTTTCTATTTCAGACTCTGCTCAACACACACTGCTTTTTCACCTACTACCTCTGAAACACTCAGTTTACAATGTGTGTGTGTGTGTGTTGGAACTGGCTCTACGTCTTTAGTTTAGGTTTTGACTATTGGCTGCTGCTACTGTAGTGAACCAAAGGCTGTGTATGCATTTGCTGAAACTCTTACTCTTGTCCTCTCTGTATTATAGTAGTAGTACTTAAAATGACTGGAATTGACTGGTGCTGACTTCTATACACATCATTGCTGTTGGCTTAAAATTGGCTGATGTTCTAACGCTGCCGTATCGTGTTTTTGCTACGTATCTGCTACGTACATATATAGCTCTGATCTCTAAAGTGTAGTATATGTACGTACTACCCCTTTATAAAGATATCTGAAAAAAAGAGACCTTTCTTTCTCTGGGAAAAATTTAGGACACCTTTCTACTGTGGTAATTTTCTTCTGTCCCATTGGTGTCCGGATTAGAGGGGTTCTAGTATTGTCTCTGTGAATCTCTAGTGAAAACAGTTGGAGAATAAACTGTTTTCCTCCTCCTGAAATACACTATTTACCACAGATAGTTAGACTGATACTACTGTATGTTCCGCTAGACCCTCATTCCAGGGAAATTTACAGTACAAACTGTGATAACCCTGTGGTGTGTGGGTGTGTGTATATAACTTACTTTGATGGGTTTTTTCTTTCCGTTCTTCTCCTCGTGATTTCTGTTGGGGTTGAGTACCAGGACACCATATCCCTCCTGTGTGAATGTGTGTCCGAGTGTGTGTGTGCACGTGTGTGTGTGTGTGCATGTGTGGAGTAGTGCACAGTTAAAAGTAAGAGTGCTTGTGACGATGTTGAAAAGAACAATGCAGCGTGTTTCTACTGCTGGTATTGAGTTTAGCTGTTCAGAGCCGTCGAATGAATGAGTGAACCTCTTTAGCTCTTTTGATGAATGGTAGCTGAGTCCCAGTGTCCAGACAGTCATTGATGATCAGTCTGTGGGGAGGTGGGGTGGACAGTCACGTATTTTGGACAGAGGTGGAGATAGGGGGAAGAGGGGGAAAAGACGGTGAAGGAAGCTGGTTTTACTGATATGGGGGTGGGGACCTATGTCTTGCAAGGAAGCGTAAAGAAAGCAAGAGCTCATCTATTTCAAGGCACTTGGCTCGGGGAGGCCATAATTGTGGGATGTGCTCCCGTGTGGAAGGAGGAGGGACTAAACCACAAGGTAAGGGAAGGATGAGGAGAGAGAGAGGGGATGGTGCAGAGGTGTAAGTGAAAGAGTGAGTGAGGCTGGTTCACAATATTGACACAAGCTCTTGCATGCGTCTTTTGGCGTCACGTGTTGCAGCAAGTGATGCATCGCAGCTTGATGCTGGTATTTTTTATCGTGTCACAGCACAATCAAGTGTGAAAAAATGTCAGTCAATACTGTATGAGAAGGAAACGCACCTTCGGGCCCACTGGCCAGCCCTGACGACTCCACTCCCGTGAATCAGGACCATCAACTTTTCCTCGTTGCTACGGGCATCTTCGCTCTCAAACACAAACGACTTGGGCTCACGTCGGTTGGCGTCCACCTATAAAGCAGTTTCACGTGCTAATTAGCAACAATTATTGTTAGCGAGCAAGTTGTGCCATACTTGTGCAGTTCTACACAGCTGACAGTACCATCACACATTTCATGTGAGGACTACTAGCATTGCTCATAAATTATACGTCTCGTTTTGCCCACAAAGGCGTGAAAAACGAGGTCTTGCATCACTGTATGTCACTGCTTTTAGTTTTCAATACACAGTATAGGAGGTTAGATTATTTGATGGGACTGCATTAAAGGGAATATGGCAGTATATTAGGGCTAAATTTAGAAACTTACTAAAACAGAAACTTAATTGCATTCTTGCACCAGGCGCCCATTTTGTTCTATCATTAGTAACATATCTAAATTTAGCCCTTATGAACGGACACATTCCCTTTAACTGGACAGCTCTCTTCATTGTTCGCAAATTCTAGCAAAGTGGGCTACAGTATGCTAACTCACCGGGACTGTAGTCCGTTTCAGATTCCCTTCCGTCTCCAGCAGTTTGTACACATACTCTGTCAGGACCTAATGCACAAAACACATATGCACCACTATACAGTGGAACCTCCGAACAAGGGACACTATGAGGCCAACTATTTGTCCCTTGTAAGGTAAAGAGGTCGTTCCTATCTCCAGGGTCAAATAATACACTAAAGTATTAGCATGGGGTTGAAACAAGTGTCCTTTGTAGAGAGGTCGTCGAGGTTCCATAAAGGCTAGTCTCCATAGTCTTACTCAGTCCTGTGCAGTCTCACGTTTCAATTTCCAAGACCCAGACTTACGTGGTCGTAATTTCAGTCAGTGTTTCAATACAGTACGTCCTGACCGCCGCACAAGACCGAGTAAGACCATAATCATGTAGACCAGCCTATAAAATCATTATGTCCAGAGTGCAAAGACCAGCGAGTAAGACTGACCAGCTAGCCTTAATACTAGTAGGTGATCTCTGTTGGCTTACCAACCTCTCCCAGTGCCTCGTAGTGTGCCTGGTTGTACCTGTGGTCTCCCTCTCTCACCATAAAATCAAACGGTCTCTGGTCTCTGTGTGCCTCAGTCTACCTGTGAGTGGAGTAATTGTCACACTACCCGAATGAAAAGTATATAGCAACCACAACAGTTCCCACCACAGAATAATCAATTAATTACACATTGTACCTTAAGGCCATGATACATGATGCAAATTTGCAGTGTGAGACCCGAATCATCTAAATGTATGGGGTTTAAGTGCAGCTTTGTTGCATATCATACCATACATTTGAAGTTGCATGCAAATTTGTCTCACGCAACAAAGTTGCATGATGTATCACGGCCTTCATACGTCTATCAGATTACTCAATTTGGGACCAACGCGTGGAACAAGTTTTCAGGCAGTACAGAGAATACACTTTTTGCATAAAGAAGCTCTTGTGGGAGAAAAGTTTTGTTAACTTAGACTAGAGTCCACGAACGTTTCTGTGCAAAATTCGAGTTTTCTGCAAGATCGCAAAGGTTTTCTCCCTCATAAATACAACCCACCTTCTTCATTGAAGGCATATTTGAATCCAGCCAGTGTGTCTGGAAAGTTCGGTAAAGGCTCCTCCTGTTTCTTCTCTGCCGTGTCCTTCTTGTGTTTCTTCGACTCTGCTGTTGGGTCATCAATTTTGCTGTTTTTCCTCTTTGGCGTATCTCCATTCTTTCCCTCCACATCTTTACCCTTGGGCCCAGGTTCTCCTTTCTCACCAGCTTCTGCACCCTTTGTATCTCCTTCCTCCCCTCCAGCTACCTCTGCCTTTTCACCAGTCTCTCCCTCCTTTCCGTCTCCTTTCTTTTCTTCTTGGTCTCCCCCCATTCCACTCCCTCCCTCTTCTTCCCCTTCTTGTCCCTTCACCACACGCCCTCCCTCCCTCCTTCACCTCCTCCGTCTTTGCTTGCTCTCCCCCCATTCCACTCACTCCCTTCCCTCCTCCTCCTCCCCTCCTCCCTCTTCTTCCCCTTCTTGTCCCTTCACCCCACTCCCTCCCTCCCCTCCTTCACCTCCTCCGTCTTTCCCTTGCTCTCCCTCAACTCCACTCACTCCCTTCCCTCCTCCTCCTCCTCCCTCTTCTTCCCCTTCTTGTCCCCTCACCCCACTCCCTCCCTCCCCTCCTTCACCTCCTCCGTCTTTCCCTTGCTCTCCCTCAACTCCACTCACTCCCTCCCCTCCTCCTCCTCCTCCTCCTCCATCTTTCACTTGGTTTTCTTCTACCTCCTCCCTACCCTCTCCTCTTTCTCCTTTCCATCTCCTTTTCCGCCCTCGTCCTTCTCTCCCCCTCTCTCCTCTTCCCCTCCCACTTTCTCATCCCCTTCTTTCTCCTGGTTTTGCTTCCCGCCATCTTTCACTGGACCTTCACCAGTGTCCATTCTCTCATCTTGTGACTCTGTCTGTGACTCCATATCAACATCTGTATGTATATACATTGCACACAAGGGTGAATTTGCTTTGTATCTAGCACAATATGCGGGAGCTCTACCTGCTGATGTATCCTGAATAGGTTCCTTGTCCATGGGGTATGCGTCGCAGTATTCGGTCCCCTTTGTAGAGCAACAGTGGATCAAAGAGGTCCCAAAGCCTGAAGAGCTCTTACTTGTTGGGTGCAGTGGTCGCGGTGGCCCTCCGAAGAAGCCGACGGCAGTGACTGGAGGCTCGTGGAAGCTTGCAGCGACAACCAGACAGCCAGCAGAGCCACGAAAGCAAGGCTCGTTCGATTCGAGCTTCGGAGCTTGTAGAGTAGCCACATTGGGCGTGGCCAGGGGGCGTTGGGTGGGTGTGTGTCGCCGTTGGTTAAACCACACGCGCTAGCTATAATTAATAAGCTGAGGGTGTGTCGCCGAAATCGCGTGATCATATCAACAAAAACACCAAGAAAACAGACGGTTTTGGTAGGTTTAGCATTAGTTTTGTGGTAGAGTGTACATGGCGAAGGTGTGGCTACCGTTGTTGCTGACCGCTGTGCTTCTTCTGTTCTCGTCGGCTCCCCGGTCCGCCGGAGGATCGCCACTGCACGTGGCAGGCCGCTGGAGTCAACCGAACACCGCTACGTTCTTCAAGGACCGTCTCAAGAACTCTCTCTCCCTTACCCCATCTATTTCCTCCTCTTCCTCGTCCCCCTCCTCTCTCGCCTCGGGCTTCACTTGCGATGCGTGCAAAGCGTTCTTCGAAGTCGTCCGAGAACTCTACGACCACGGATTCATGCGGGACGAGATCGCAAAGATCTCCGTGGACGTCTGCACGACGCTAAAGATCGAGGACCACACAGTCTGCTCTGGCGTAATCTCACTCTTCAAGGTTAGCAAAATGCCCTCTGGATGCAAATTTACAGCGAACTCTTCGCTTCGATCGTTCTAGCGAAAAGCCAGTCCTAGCTTGCTAAATGCAGCGCCTGATGTAGCTTAGATACAGGTGTTTAGCTGCCAGTTTTGTGCAGTGTTTGCTAGAAAAAGGAGTTCCTGGGCGTTGTTGAATTGTTGACTTTGCATTGTCCTGTGACCTTGTTAAAGTTTGTATGCATAATTCACTACTGTATGTTTGTGCTCCAGGACGAGGTTCTTACGGTGTTTGAGAAAGTCGGTCTCGGTTCAGACGAGGCCTGTAATATTGTCGTCGGGGACTCGTGCAGTAAGGGCTACGACCCGTGGCACCAGAAATGGAGCGTTCCCATCCCTGGGGACAAGCCACCTGTCACCCATCACTCACCCGAGGTAGAGACTTTGTCAGTCTTCTGAGTTCGTAAAATAGTACAGTATGTACGTATGTACCCAAATGTATGGTTTATAGTTTGAAAAGTCCAGTTTAGTGAAGCGTCCCTGCCATGGTACTGTGGTTCGACTGTTCTAACTCACTTATGCATGTACGTATGTGATCATTTGCAAGACATGTCCTAGCTAGAGTTTGAAGTTAAGAATTTGCCTTGTTACTTCAAGTTTTGAGTCACGAAAATTGTTGTTGGTTAGCCAATGCATAGTAGTATGCCATAAGAAAAACAGGTTATGAACATGGGTTACGAGCTAAGAACAATGAAATGTGTGTGTGAGGTAAAAGGACTCCAAGTGTTTTACAGCAAGTAAGACTTATTTTAGCCTAGTTTTGTGGTGAAGAAGTAAATTTTATGTTGAGTTGCAAAGTTCGGTTGCTAAAAAGTGCTACGAATCTATGTACATGTAGCCTGGTTTTGGGCTTAATCAAGATTGCTTACTTAGCCCCTGTATTGTGTGGGAGAATGATATATATACACCTCCCCACGCAGTGTATTTTGTGCCAAGTCTCATTCTTTACTTAAAACCACACTATAGCCCATCACATGAGTTTGTCTCCATGCAACGCTGGCAGGCAGCTGTAGAATTGCCAGACCTGTATATATGTGACTTCATCAAAGGGTGTGATGTGTACATATCAGATTCCAATGTATGGGGTGATGTGCCACACTATCCTCCTACTTAAAGTTGGGATCATATTATTATGTCATAGGAAGTTACGAGTTTGATAGAGTTTCCTCTGCGGCCTTTAGGAAGCCAATCTCTGTAGCCCATCACATGAGTTAGTCTCCATGCAACGCTGGCAGGCAGCTATACTGTGGCTTCTATTGCCAGACCTGTATGTGACTTCATCAAAGGATGTGATGTGTCATATCAGATTCCAATGTATGGGGTGATGTGCCGCACTACCTCCTACTTAAAGTTGGGATCATCTTATGTGTAGGAAGTTACAGTTTGATAGAGTTTCCTCTGCGGTCCTTTAGGAAGCCAATCTCTGTAGCAAAGTACCATAGATGACATCCTATTTGGTGGTGATATGGGCATGTGTGGTATTCATAGTGGTCATGTGAGGCTTGTCCATGTCATGCCTGCTGCCATGACCTTTCATGCATCCAGCACGTTTCATCCACTGTTATAGCATGTTTCCATCTCTACTGTCGTGTTGTGTTGCTGCAACCAGTGATGGTATATTATATGTGATTCAGATTGTCTGTTTTGTCCTTCTCACACCCTCTTCTCCTCTCTTTCTCCCTCCTCCTCCTCTCCCTTCTCTCCCTCTCCCCTCCCTCCCATCTCCCTCCTCCTCCCCACCCACCCCCCAGCCTGGGAGCCCAGTGACAGGTGTCCTGCACATCACTGACATACACTATGACCCTCTCTACACTCCAGGACTCACTCGCGACTGTGGAGAACCTCTCTGCTGCCGCCCTCCCAATGCACAGGGTGTGTGTGTGTGTGTGTGTGTGTGTGTGTGTGTGTTTGGTATGGGTTAAGAAGAGAAACGGAGTCTGGTATTCGCAGTCCTGTCGGTTTGTCTTGCTAAGCTATTAGTTTGTCGCGCTACAGTTGAGTTTGTCCGTTTTTCTAAGTCACATTTTACGTTGTGACAGTAGAATGCATGCACGGGAAGTTTACCTACACCGTTACTGCCTTGTTGTGACAAGATTAGACAAGATACACTGTATATACCTCCTGCCTTGGGTCACACCTGCTGGCATCTTCTTACAACCACCGCGTGGAGTACCAATAATTGTGTGGGCGGCTGAGCATGCGGGTGGTTTTTTTTACAATGGGGATTTTTTACTGTGTGCGCGTGCGTGCATGTGTGTGTGCATTTGTTAGCCGTTGCCTTGGCAGCCATAGCACTATAAAGCTAGGGCCATTGACCAGCACCCAGAGCTATGTGCAGAACCATCACCTCATGTAAAATGCAGATATACCGATGTCTGTCTTACCTCCCACACACCCTAACCCGTCCATCCCTTCCACCAGCGACACCCTGCAGTTCCCCAATGAGGTGTAATCTAAGACTGTTGGACTGTTGAAATCTGGGATTATCACCATAACATAGTCTTTCAAACATGCCTAGCACAGCCGAAACCCAATTGGCCAGAGCAGTGAAAAGTACATAGGTCAATGGCAAAAGGAGATTAGCAGTTCTTAAATTAGTTACGTTGAATTACGTACATTTGAGTATGGAGCCCATGCACCCCAAAAAAGTGAATGTAACTTACATATCGCACGTTTTTTCTGTCTAAGTTGCATCGTCGTACTGCGTAAGTTTCAGAGTTTTTGTATTTTTCTATGAGTTTATTAATTTGGGTGGGGTGGTTAAGGGTTCTTCCTTTTCCTCTCATAATATTATTCTTTTAGTTAGTATGGCTATAAACATGTTTTTTCATATGTTTGTACAATACAGTAACGTTTGTTATGAGGTTAAGTGCTGTGTGTGTAGGTTTTGTATCCTGGTTATCCCATAGGAAAAGCAAAACTCTGCCATGTAGAGCAGGAAAAGCAAACGGTCTTGTAGCCATTCGGAGGAGTAGTTCAATGCCAGACTCTTTTGAAGCAGCCAACAAAAGAACCAGTTTGTATGTATCAACTACGAGGTAGAACGGCAAAGGCACAACAAACATATCAACTACACCCAGGACAGCTCTTTTTTCCAAGAGCTGCCCTGGGTGGGATTCGAACCCATGACACTCTGTATGTATACTGCTTCTCCCCTGCCTCTCTTGTCTCCTTTCTCTCCCCTTTGCTTACGTTTCTTCATAATTTTCAAACATGTGCAATAAGCTACTTGTCTTTGTTCTCCCCTGCCTCTCTCATCTCCTTTCTCACCTCCTTTCTCCCCCTCCGTACTTACATCTCTCTCAGGAAACTCTAGCACAGCGGCTGGTTACTGGGGAGACTACAAGTGTGATGTTCCGTACCAAACTCTCCTTAATCTCATGGAACACCTACAGAAACAGGGCTCCATGGTAATCTGAAACTTTCGTGATTTTTCTAGCATGCCGTGCTTGATGGCCCATTATTCGTTAGCCTTTTTGTGTAAATTATGCTATTCAACCATTTGTAAATTTTTTACTAGAGATCCTAAGGATGCAAACTTTGCCATCATAACTCTTCTCTCTCCGCAGTATGAGTGGGTGTACTGGACGGGAGATATGCCTGCACATAGTGTGTGGACTACCACAAGACAAGGACTGGTGAGACTTATACTATCACATTGGCTCCTAGCATTTCTTCCTCTTCTTCTCCTTTCTTTAGTCCTACCTGCCTTGCCCTTTCTCTCCCTCACTTTTCTCCCTTTCTCCCTCTCTTTTCTCACACGTGTCTTACACTCCCAATCCCTTGTACCTTGTTGCATGTATCTCCCTTCTCCCTTGCCCCTCTCTCCTTGTCTTCACATCACTCTTAACCTTACTCCCTCCCCTCCTTCCTCACATACTCTCTTCCTCTTTTATTCTCATCTCTCTCTCTCTCTCTCTCTCTTAAATTTTACTCCGTTTACCTCCACCCCCTCCCTCCCTCCCTCCCTCCGTAACAGCTCGACATGATGACCAACATCACAGACCTCATGAGCACCTCGTTTGGCGGCAAGCCCGTCTTCCCGACATACGGAAACCACGAGGGAGTTCCGGTCAACAGTTTCCCTCCTCCATACATCACTGGTAACATGTCTGCAGAGTGGCTGTACAGTGGCAGTGCCGAGCGCTGGGCGGTGTGGCTGGACAAGTTCCCAGAGTGGCCGACCATCAATGCCACCATCAGGAAGTGAGTGAGGGAGGGAGGAAGGGAGGGTGGGAGGGAGGAAGGGGGGAGAAATGGGGGAGGGATTGAAAGGGAGTGAGTGAGGGCGGTGTGGCTGGACAAGTTCCCAGAGTGGCCCACCATCAATGCCACCATCAGGAAGTGAGTGAGGGAGGGAGGAAGGGAGGGTGGGAGGGAGGAAGGGAGAGAGGAGGGAGAAAGGGGGGAGGGATCGAGAGGGAGTGAGTGAGGGCAGTGTGGTTGGACAAGTTCCCAGAGTGGCCCACCATCAATGCCACCATCAGGAAGTGAGTGAGGGAGGGAGGAAGGGAGGGTGGGAGGGAGGAAGGGAGAGAGGAGGGAGAAAGGGGGGAGGGATCGAGAGGGAGTGAGTGAGGGCAGTGTGGTTGGACAAGTTCCCAGAGTGGCCCACCATCAATGCAGCCATCAGGAAGTGAGTGAGGGAGGGAGAAAGGGGAGGAAGGGGAGTGACTGAGTGATAGAGACTTTTCACAGCTATTTACATAACTCTCAATGGCAATGAAACACGGCAGTCTGCCTCCCTTTCCTCTCTAGTGATAACACTGCTTCAGAGAAGGGAGTGAGTAGAGAGAGCTTCTGCAGGTTTACATTGCTTTCACAGGCGTTTTCACCGCAATAAATGGCAACACACTTTCCTCTAACACTGCTTCTAGAAAGTGTGTTAAAGTGCTAAGTATAACCTTTCGTGAATAGACAGCTTTGTGCATTTGTGTATGTACAGTATGTAGCCTGCTAACGAACAAATTTGTTATTGGTGTAAAGGGTGTGTAGTATGCAACATGGCATTGCTACATTGTATTGAGATAAAAGCACTAAAGTGCAATCCTCGGTGCAAACGATAAGTGCGTGTCTTTTGCATTCAGGGTTGATTTTAAAAATTCCACACTATGCATGTGCAAAAAGCACTGCCAATAGATGGGCCAGGTGACACCATACCTTGTCGACTTGTTCAACACAAGCTACGTACTGTAGTAGCTCAATCTTTGGGTAGGGCAACACTCTTCGTCCAAGAACCTTAAACTGGTCGCGATAAGAAAGCCATTGGAATTACTGGCATAATATTGGCTTTTCGTTCGTTTGCCCCTGGAGCACAGTTGTTTTAGGAACTCCATGCCTACTGTACTGTATGTATATATGTATGTGGCACTGAGGCTGTTTTGCTGACTTGTGGCAGATTACAGTGGCGTGTGAGTGGTAACAGACATGCAGACAAGCAGATGCACAGACCAAGGACTACTAGTATACTGCCCATGCATGCTGAGGGTTAATAATGTAGCGTGTAATCCTCCTGAAGTTTAATTACATTTTTGTGTGTACTAATGTGCATGTTGTGGGAGATGCCAGAAATGCAGTGGCACAGTGTAATGTTGCAGTACCCTGACAGGACAGCATGGGCTCTGCAAGGGAGAATGCTGTCCTGTCTGGGCACTGCAACATGTATTTGTTGATCCCTAGGCAAATGACATGTGTGAACCCTGCTTGCACATGTAGGATTGTATAGGCTGATACAATCCCTCAGTACCTAGCTTCGGTTGCCTATATACGGATATCCGACAGATGTTCATGTGCCATAGAACAGTGGTTTGAGGTAATCCCACTCAGGGCAGCTCTTCTTCTTTTAAAAGAAGAAGAGCTGTCCTGGGTGTAGTTGACTCGTTTGCCTTGCCTACGTATATACCTCATTACCAAGTTGTTGGGACATGTGTTTATACACCTTTTGCCCATTCTATTGCAGGGGAGGATACTATGTGGTGAAGGTGAGGGAACACCTCAAAGTCATCTCACTTCAGACCAACTTCTGCAACACTGACAACTAGTACGTGTATGTTCACTACACACACCGAATGAAACAGCTAAAAATTGATGGCTAGTGTAGTGAGGTTGGTCGGCCTTTCGACCTTCATCCACGTTCATGTTGCGACTGTTTGTTCACACGCATATTGAACGATCTTTGTGTGCTGCCAAGGCACAAGATTTTTAAGACCCCGTTAGAAAAGTTGGACAATGGGTTCCCAGGTTCAGTGACATAAACCCCTCCCCCCCCAGCCCATTGTCTAACCTATAATACATTTGCAAATCATACATTTATCGGGGCTCCCTTTCAACTCTCCTCTCCTTTGCTTTCTCCCTATCCCCTCTCTCCCTTCTGAATGCTGCTTTCTCCTCTCTCCCCCTCCCCCCTGTTAGTTGGTTACTGATCAACAGTACAGACCCGGCAGGTCAGTTGCAGTGGTTGGTGGAGCAGCTGCTCCAGGCAGAGAGGGACGGGGACAAGGTTCACATCATTGGCCACATTGCACCTGGTCTCCACTCCTGTAACCCTGTCTGGTCCTCCAACTACCACCTCATTGTCAACAGGTAGGTATGAGCTATACATAGCACTGTGGTTTGAGGTTTGCCTTTGTCTTGTATTGTGTTGAAGTATGTGCGCGAAAAATTGAACTAGTCGCGTCGCTGGCCAAAATGCATTACATTCATTCCCTCAGAATAAGGGGCACCTGTGAATAAAGGACAATTTCGATATCCCCAAAGTGTGAAGTCAAAATGTCTTTGTGATTTCTTTTTTGTGATACAGAAATTAAAAGTGTTATGCACTGGTGTAATACTCAGGTTTGAGAGTACTATTGTGGGACAGTTCTTTGGCCACACCCACCACGACTCAGTCGAGATTCACTATGACGACAAGAATGTGTCCACGATGCGTCAGACAGAAGGTGATAATAGCAATGTATAACTAGCTAATGTTGTCGTCTGCTCGACTTTCGTCGCACCCCCATCCCAATAGCGCACACACGCACTTCATCTCCCCTTTTAATTTAGTCTTCTTACCCTTGATTCCTATCCACGCCTTTTCAAGGAACCTCTTTTTCCGTTTGGTAGAGCTCTCCTACTGACTCGCCGCACACTGTGGCTCAGTGTATCGTCGGCAAAGGACGCACTAAATACACAACACGGTCCTTGCCATTGCTTATTTTCTCCCCTACTGTACGCGCATCAACATGATGGGCTTAGTACACTCGCGGGATATCTACTTATCTGCGAGGCGTCCTGATGTGCAATCAGTAATCACATGGTGTGACGTCTCGGTAGGATCAGACTCAAAGCCGAAGTAACATATAGTGTCACTATTGTGATCGCTTAGATATAATAAACGCTATCTCAATAATACACTTACTGAGCGTCACAGCAGCTGATGTGCATATGATTCCCGCTCATCGCACTTTCGAAACCAACTCATTACCGCCGGTCCAGCTCACGTCAAGAGCTTCCGCTCTCTGAGCGCCACGCCCCTGAACACGAGGCTTGCTGCGTACAGAGACTTAATTAAGCTCTCTCGCGGGGCCTGGACATTCCGGTGCGGATCCATTCCACTCACACTAATCACCATGTATGTAAGGTGAACGAGTGATTTACCAAAAACACTTTGTTAGACACTGGTATAGTGCCTAAATCCAGGATACCTGTAAATCGCGAGCAGGTGTCAAACGTAATCATACGTGTGACATTTTCTATTGATATATGGTTCTGACTGCTGACGGTACGCCATCTCTTCACCTAATGGTAAATAAAGTAAGTGACACTAGCTCTAACTTCGCCAGGACTTATATGTACGTAGCTTGCAGGGAACGTTGTTCAGTGTTCCGCTCACTTGATGTGTCTGGTAGCCGTCACCTTCTACTCCTCTGACCGTACTCGTCAAATCTCAGCTAAGTAGTACTTGGTAGTTGTATGGTAGTCTTGCTATTGTGGTGATACATTGCAGCTCGACTGGTACTGGCATGGTGTGTGAAAGTGAGTGTATTGGATGAGACAAACGCATGAGTGCCTACTGGACCTAAATCGTTAAAGTCATACTCTGATAACACATAATGTTTTCAGTTCTGGTTTTAAGAAAGCCAATTATTCGTAGTGAAATTAGTTTATAGATATACTGAAGGAACAGGATGGAAAACTATTGAGTTTCTCAAGGATGTGAAGGGACCAATCCACGCTTATTATCTGAGAATCGAATATGAGGCGCACTTTCAGCTCCTTCCTACGGTAGAATATCACGTTTCTCTCAGCAGCAGTAACTTTGCAGGTACAACTACACCATAAGCCCATTGCTGTTCTTAGCTCTGTGTGCTACTAGTGTGATAACTTCCTGGGGTTATTGTTATAGGGGTGTTCCAGTGAGTTTCATGTGCGTATACATTGTGGGCGTCAGATAGAACATGGACAACGGCACAGGAGGATCTCGAGGTCTTCGTTTGCTAGTATCACACTGCGCATATGTTCGAATGACGACACAGTATTAAGAGAGTATCTAGAAACGCTGTGCAGACGTGGCGTTGATACAGAGCTTCAATCTCATTGATGCGATATTCATCGTAAGAGCTAGAGTAGAATGTATGCGCATCGTGGCCTATTTCCTCTCCTCAGAGGGCATTGGGCTGGCATAGTGGTTATACTAGTCTTGTATGCTGTCAAGTCGAAAATGGTGAAGTCTTTGAGCGGATTATTTTTAACGGTAATTCAATCGAAAGAGCTCTATAAAGTTGGTAACGTTAATACCATAAACTTTTGATAGGGTGACTCGCTAGTTTATTGAGGTTCACCGGTCGCAGGCTTAGCTACTTGTATCAGTACTTGTAGAGAATGGGGGGCGTATCGTGTCCTAGTGTTGTTGGTTCTGACTCCTTAACATGTTATTATTGTACTACAAGTACCCAACTCCGTTCGCATGATATGAGGCTCATACTCTTATGATACTGTTGGCTGTCCCTCGCCCGCTGGCAAGTGTAAGGCCTATCGGCTAATTAGCCTCTACGCTCTATACTACTACTCTTATAACGACTATGTGTCGTAATGATACTTTCGTGGGTGCAACCAAATCTGGTCGTTGGAGAAGCTCTGAGGCTCGCCAACTCAACTTTCATTCTTCTCATATAGCATCTGTGTTGTAACTCCAACCACAGTACTGACAGTGTACATTAGAGAGTCGGTAGACTCTCTATA